TAGATAGCGGGTCGCTAGCTGGTGTGGACGCTTCCGAACCCGCCACGTCTACCAACGTAGAGGAGACGACCTTAGAGTAGTCACCTACGCCGAACTAGGTAGACAATGTTGATCCTCCAGTCGTGCTTCTAGGGAAGCTTCGTGGAGTTCCAGTCAAGATTCTCATCGATAGCGGAGCTAGCCACTCGTTTGTTTCATCTTCGTTAGTTAGTCGTCTCCATCTCGAAGCAGATTTGGCAGTCAACTTCAAGGACGCTCGCATGGTAGATGGGACTCCACTTCACATAGGACCAGTAATTCGCAAGTTGCGCGTGGTGCTAGGAGCAATCACGGTTAGACGCGACTTCGACTCTGCGACGCTGGACGGTTACGACTTCATCTTCAGTAGAGATTGGTTACGGACGGTTAGTACTCAGTTCGATTGGGCTCAGGGAAGCTGCAGCGTCAAGGTAGATGGCGAGTTCTGGGAGTTGCCACAGTGGAGCGATGGGGCCACATCATCCACAGCCATCATCAATGCTGTTCGTGTGCGGCAGCTAGTGAAGTGAGCGGCACGGATCTTTGCGGTTTTCCTTGAGGAGGTGGAAGCTGAGGAGGGGAAAGGAGGGAGTGCAGCAGCTGGTGAGAAGGCGACTCTTCCTGCTGAGGTGAGTGCACTGTTAGCAGAGTTCGCAGACGTCTTCCCCGACGAGTTGCCCCCAGGGTTACCTCCCAGCCGAGCAGTAGACCATCAAATAGAGTTGGAGCCGGGGAGCAGGCCAGTAACAAAGCCGCAGTGGAGGTTGAGTCCAGCGGAGACAGAGGAGATGACGCAGCAGGTTAGGCACTTTCTCACGCAGGGGTTCGTACAACCATCTATATCGCCTTGGGCAGCACCGATCCTTTTTGCACCCAAGAAAGACGGAGGGTTACGGATGTGCATAGATTACCGCGCACTGAACGCCGCCACCGTCAAGAATAGGTTCCCAGTGCCGAGAGTAGAAGATCTTCTCGATGCAGTGCAGGGCGCTAGAATCTTCTCCAAGATTGATCTTCGCTTAGGGTATCTTCAGATTCGAGTAGTTCCAGAGGACCAGCACAAGACGGCGTTTCGTACGAAGCAGGGGTTGGTTTAGGGTTCTACCCTTCGGTTTGACCAACGCCCCAGCGACGTTTCAGACGCTCATGAATACAATCCTCTCCGAGTTTCTAGGGTAGTTCGTTGTAGTTTACCTAGATGACATCTTAGTCTTCTCCAAGACGAAAGAGGAGCACGTGCAGCACTTGCACAAGGTGTTGAGATACTAGCGTGACTTAGGCTTAGGAGCCATTGCTAGTGAGTGTCTTAGTAGCTTAGGGGATCACACACACCCATCACCCCCATACCCGCCACCCCCATAGCCTCTGTTCCACGGCTGCACGCGCAGCAGGGAGACGAAGAAGGGGGAGGGGGAAGAGCAGGGGCAGCATACGCACGGGCAGCACACGCACGGGCAGCACAGGCACAGGCAGCAACAGGCAGCAACGGGCAGCACAGGCACGGGCAGCAACAGGCAGCAACGGGCAGCACAGGCACAGGCAGCAACGGGCGGCAACAGGCAGCATAGGCACGGGCAGCAACAGGCAGCACAGGCACGGGCAGCAACGGGCGGCAACGGGCAGCACAGGCTCGGGCAGCAACAGGCGGCAACGGGCAGCACAGGCACGGGCAGCAACGGGCAGCAACGGGCAGCACAAGCACAGGTAGCAACAAGCAGCAATGGGCAGCACAGGCACGGGCAGCAACAGGCAGCAACGGGCAGCACAGGCACAGGCAGCAACGGGCGGCAACAGGCAGCACAGGCACGGGCAGCAACAGGCAGCACAGGCACGAGCAGCAACGGGCGGCAACAGGCAGCACAGGCACGGGCAGCAACGGGCGGCAACGGGCAGCACAGGCACGGGCAGCAACGGGCGGCAACGGGCAGCACAAGCACGGGCAGCAACGGGCGGCAACGGGCAGCACAGGCACAGGCAGCAACAGGCAGCAACGGGCAGCACAGGCACGTGCAGCAACAGGTAGCAACGGGCAGCACAGGCAGGCAGCCGTACCGAGTCCAGGAGCGGAGGCGCATACAGCTGTAAGGTCGGCGCCGTGGGCTGCTGCTGAGGCGGCTTGCGGGGTCCAGGGGCGGCTGCTGAGGTCCAGGGGCGGCTGCACCAGGGGCGGCTGCTCCAGTGGCCAGGGGCGGCTGCTCCAGGGGCGGCTGCTCCAGGGGCGGCTGCTCCAGGGGCGGCGCTGGTGCAAGGTAGGCCCGCGCGCAGCTGCAACGCTTGCGCGGGCGCAGGTGAGGCAGAGGCGGTGGCCAGGGGGGAGGGCGCCGCGACGAGCAGGGACGGCGCCCAAGGGGTGCCGCTACGAGCAGGGGCGACGCCCCAGGGGCGCCGCAACGAGCAGGGGCGGCGTCCAGGGGGCGCCACGACGAGGAGTGGCGTCGCCCCGCGGGTCCCGCAGGGGCGTCGCGACGAGCAAGGCGACGCCGTGCGGGTCCTGCAGGGGCGTCGCGACGAGCAGGAGCGGCGACGCCCGGGTCCCGCAGGTGCGTTGCGACGAGCAGGGACGGCGCTTCGCAGGGCGCCGCGAAGTGGAGGGTACGGGCAGGCAAAACAGGCCCGCGCGTGGACGTGAGGCAGGCGCGCAGGCGGCGTGAGGGCAGGCCACGCGCGGGGCAGGAAGACGCCGCGCGCCCAGGGCGCACGGCGGGCAGAAGCCCGCCGTGCGCCCCGAGCACACGGCGGGCACAAAATCGCCGTGCGCCTACGCCGCGCGCCCGAGGCGCGCGGCAGGACGATAGGCAGCGGAAGCAGGAAGGCAGCAGGAAGGTACTTGCTCTGAATACCATGTTGAGATACTAGCGTGACTTACGCTTAGGAGCCATTGCTAGTGAGTGTCTTAGTAGCTTAGGTTTAGGGTTGAAGATGAATGTCGAGAAAGTTGAAAGGAGAGAAATGGGGCTTCACTATAGGTTTGCAAGAACATATAGCAAAGGAACAAAGAAGGTGCACCACCAAACAAAGTTTATAATAACTACACTAACTACAGCTACAGGCAGTTACAGATATATTCAGACACAAGGTTTTCGAGGTCTTGCGGAAGGAGCAGTTGTACGCGAAGCAGTCGAAATGCGAGTTCTTCCTTCCAGAGGTCGAGTTTCTAGGCCATGTCGTATCCGCTAGTGGCATTAGGACCGACCCGAAGAAGATCGCACCAGTACAGGATTGGGTAGCACCGACCTCAGTCAAGGAGTTGCAAAGCTTTCTCGGATTCGCCAATTACTATCGTCGTTTCGTTCAGAGTTACGCATCGATCGTTAGTTCACTCACCGACCTACTTCGGAAGGGCGTAGATTTCGATTGGGGTCCAGCGCAACAGCAGGCGTTCGAGCAGATGAACCAGTCGCTCACGTCTTCACCGACACTGTCGTACCCAGATCCCACTCGCCCGTACGTTGTAGTGACCAACGCATCAGATCGGGCCATAGTAGCAGTGCTTCTCCTTGACCAGGGACGCGGGTTGCTGCCAATCGCGTACGAGTCGCGTAAGCTTAGGGGAGCGGAGTTGAACTATCCGATTCACGACAAGGAAGCGCTTGCGATCATCCATGCGTATAAGGTGTGGAGGTGCTACTTAGAGTGGGCAGATAGTGTTATACGCACGGACCACTGTTCGCTTCGTTTCCTCAAGTCGCAGCCGCAGCTGAGTCGTCGCCAGGCTAGGTGGATGGAGTTCATGAAGGGGAGCTTTCACTACAGGATAGAGTACAAGCCAGGCGTGCGCAACCCAGCAGATCCGCTCACTCGCCCTAGTTGCCAGCTCGCTAGTCTCATAGTCACTGCCGGCCACCCACTTCTCACAGCACTCTTCGAGCACGGTTACACAGTAGATCCCGACTTCACACCGCAGCCGCCCGCAAGAGCAGAGGTGCAGGGTAGTGTCTACATACGGAAGGGTACCACACGGATTTGGGTTCCAGCCTACCGCCCTCTTCGACAGCTCCTTCTCTCAGAGGCGCACGACGTAGTTAGTGCAGGTCACTTCGGAGCAGATAAGACGGCTAAGACGCTTAGTCGCACGTACTACTGGCCCGGGCTTGCAGCAGACGTAGAGGATTACATTCGCTCGTGCGACACGTGTCAGCGTACGAAGTCTTCTCGCCAGCGCAAAGCAGGACTCTTGCAGCCGATTCCACCGCCCGACCGCCCTTGGCAGGTAGTCATAATGGATTTCATCATGGCATTACCGCGCACAGTTAGGGGTCACGACGCCATCTTCGTAGTAGTGGATAAGTTTTCTCGAGCAGCGCACTTCATCCCCACGCACGGCAAGGTGACAGCAGAGGAAGCCGCGACGCTGTTCGTAGATAACGTAGTCCGACTGCACGGGGTTCCAGATTCCATCATCTCAGACCGCGACCCTCGTTTCACTTCGAAGTTTTGGAAGCAGCTTTTCGCACTGTTTGGGACTCGCTTAGCCATGTCATCTGCGTACCATCCAGAGACAGACGGACAGACCGAGCGTGTGAACCAGACCTTGGAATAGATTCTTCGCAGCATCACGATGCACAACGCAGCCGCATGGGACAAGAAGCTGAGCATGGCCGAGTTCGCCTACAACAACATGCACCACTCGTCTGCACGCATGTCACCGTTCTTCGCACTGTACGGTCAGCACCCTAATGTCCCCACTCGTATCGATCTCACACCCACAGTCCCTCGTGCGGACAATTTCCACCAGCATCTCACCTTCATTCACGATCACGTGAGGAAGCACCTTGAGCTCGCAAATGCACGCATGGCACGCACCACCAACCACAGTCGTCATGAGGTGTCGTTCACAGTCGGCGACCGTGTTTTGCTTGATAGCCGCAACCTCCGACTGCCACAGGACAGCAAGCTTCGCCCCTCACTTCACTGGTCCATTCGTCATTGAGCGTGCACTAGGACCAGTCGCATACCGCCTTCGCCTTCCCGCTCATATCCGCATGCACCTGTCATTCCACGTGTCGCTGCTTCGTCCTTACACCGATCCCAACGCCACCTTCTCGGGCCGTGATCGCACTCCACTGCCGGTAGTTGTTGACACCGACGAGCTGGACTACCAAATCCAGCGCATCCTCAGGCACCGTCGCCGTCTTGTCTCTTTCATCGACTTCTTGGTTCGTTGGCATGGTTTCGACGCAGCAGACGACAGCTGGGTTCCTTCGTCCTCGCTGTCTCCCGACAACGCTTGCCTCCAAGCGTACCTCCAGTCTGCAGGCGCCGCGGACGTCGCCTCCTTGGGAAGGGGGTAGTGTTAAGGGGGGATTTACTGTTCACTTTGAACAGTACTTTCTAACTCACCCTAATCCTGATCTTCCTAGATTTCCTAGTGCCATGTCGCACTCTACTTTCTTTGCCTTCTAGTTCCTAGTCCCACAACCCACTTTCCCACAATTGCTCTTGCATGCTTTCGCACCTCCGCACTAGTGACACTCGCTACCGTGCTGCGCTTCCTGCTGACTTCTACGCCAAGAACCCCCCCCCCCCATGTACATCACTCTCTACTACATAGTCACTCGCCTCCCTGACTCCCTTCGCGTAGTCAGGGACCACTTCCTCTCAGTCTGTCCCACCACTCTCACTGTTGACCTCCTCGAGAAGTCCCTTCTAGCGGCTGAGAAGAGCAAAGTCGCTGTAGGGGCCTCTCGTGGTGACCCGCGCACCCCCATCTTTGAGGGGTGCTCCCCCTCCCCCCTTCTGCCCTCTGTTGCCTCTGCTGCTACGGCCGACCTCCTTGGTCTTGAGTCGGTCGGTGCGGCGTCCGCCCCTAGCGGGAGACGCCGCTCTGGCAAGGGCAAGGGGGGCAAAGGCGTTGGAGGAGCGAGCGGGAGCGGTGGAGGTGGAGGCGGCGGGGGGAGTGGGGGTGGCGGTGCGAGTGGAGGTGGGGGAGGAGGTGTCGGTGGAGGCAGCAGAGGCGGCAGCGGCGGTGGTGGTGGGAGCGGGGGTGGCGGAGGTGGTGGCGGTGGAGGCGGCGGCGGAGGCGGCAGTGGTAGCGGAGGCGGCGGAGGCGGCGAAGGCGGCGGGGGTGGCGGTGGAGCTGGTCGCGGGTCTACACAGAGGAGTGGTTCCGGTGGTGGCCAGCGCCAGCAGCAGCAGCGCGGTCGTGAGACCCTGTCCCCTCAGCAGCTCCGTGAGTGGTACACTGCACGCCAGCGGGGTGGGGGTTTTGGTCCGTGCACCTACGTCCTGCGCACCGGCGACCGTGCGGGTGAGCAGTGTGGGGGTGCGCACCCCACCCAGCGCTGCTTTAGCCGTCTGACAGACGCGTGGCGTCGCCCGTTCCCAGAGGCCACAGAGATCCCTCGCTGGGGCGAGCTGTCTAGGGCGGGAGTTGCTATCTATGATCTTGATTTTGATGCTATTCTTTCTGCCATGTATGCTGTATCCATTAGTGATGACGGTGACTGTTACCGGTGTTTCCCGCCCGATCCGGGCATTGGGACTGCTGCTCTAGGTACTGGTGAGGCTGCTGCCCTAGGTGCTTGTGACGCTGCTGCTCTAGGTGCTAGTGCGTCTGCGTCCTCAGGTACTGGTGAGTCTGCGCTCTCAGGTACTGCGTCGGCTTCGGCCTCCCTCACCTTCACCCTTGACTCTGGAGCTTCTCGCTCCTTCTTTCGGGACCGCACCACACTCACGCCGCTTAGTCAGCCCGTTGCGGTGTCTCTGGCTGTCCCCTCTGCGGGTCCTGTCCTGTCTCACTTCTCCACAGTCCTTCCGTGTCCGGCGGCTCCCTCTGGCACCCTGTCTGGTCTCTACCTCCCCTCGTTCTCTACAAACCTGGTGAGTGGTGCTGACCTACAGGATGGGGGAGTACACTAGTTCACTCCTGCGCGTCAGCGGGTAACGCACTGCACAGAGGCTAGCACAGGCCGACACCTGGCTACGTTTACCTGTCACTCGGGGTCGAGCCTGTACACACTGACCACTGCGTCTCCTCCAGTTGCTGCATCGGGTCAGGTGTTTGCTGCAGCGTCCAGGTCTGGTCCTGAGTCTGCCCCCTGTTCGTGTCGTCTCCTGTCTCACGAGACTCTCCTCTGGCACCACCGTCTTGGTCACCCCTCTCTGCTTCGGCTCAGAGGCATGGCCTCCCGTCTTCTTGTTTCTGGTCTCCCCCGGTCCCTCCCTCCCCTTCCTCAGGGCCCTGGCCCAACCTGTGTCCCCTGTATCGAGGGGCGCCAGCGGGCTGCCCCTCACTCCTCCCAGTTTCCTCCGACAGAGGCCCCGCTGCAGACGCTTCACATGGACGTGTGGGGCCCAGCCCGCGTCCGTGGACAGGGTCACGAGCGCTACTTCCTGCTCGTTGTTGACGACTACTCGCGTTACACCGCGGTCTTCCCCTTGCGCAGCAAGGGTGATGTCACTGAGGTGCTGATCGACTGGATCCGCGCAGCTCGTCTCCAGCTCAGGCAGAGCTTTGGCTCGGACTTTCCTGTTCTGCGTCTACACTCGGACAGAGGCGGAGAGTTTTCCTCTGGCCTTCTGAGAGCCTACTGTCGCGCACGAGGCATCCGTCAGACCTTCACGCTTCCGGACTCCCCGCAGCAAAATGGGATTCCTGAGCGCCGCATTGGCATGGTCATGGATGTCGCTCGTACGTCTATGATGCATGCGGCTGCTCCTTATTTTCTGTGGCCGTCTGCGGTGAGGTACGCGGCGCATCAGATCAACCTACACCCCAGGGTCTCCATGCCGGAGACCTCCCCAGCCTTGCTGTGGACGGGGAAGGTTGGCGATGCGTCGGCGTTCCGGGTCTGGGGATCTCGGGCGTTTGTCCGCGACTTGTCTGCGGACAAGCTGTCCCCTCGTGCTGCTCCTTGCGTCTTCCTGGGGTTCCCCCCTGACGCGCCGGGGTGGTAGTTCTACCACCCCACCTCTCGCCGTGTTCTGTCCTCCCAGGACGTCACGTTTGACGAGTCAGTCTCCTACTACCGTCTCTTCCCCTACCGCACTCCGTCCCTCCCCCCCCCCCCCCCCCGCTCTTCCTTGTACCAGGTCCCCCCCCGGTAGACCCCCTCCCCCATCAGGGTCCTGCCCCTTCAGGTGTGTCCCAGGTAGACGCAGTCGAGCCTGTCAAGGTTTCTGGTGACTCTAGTGCTGCTGGGGGTGCTAAGCCTGGGGGTGCTGAGCCTGGGGGTGCTGCGACTAGGGGTGCTGAGCCTGGGGGTGCTGAGCGTGGGGGTGCTGAGCCTGGGGGTGCTGAGCGTGGGGGTGCTGAGCCTGGGGGTGCTGAGCGTGGGGGTGCTGAGCCTGGGGGTGCTGAGCCTGGGGGTGCTGAGCTTGGAGGTGCTACGCCTGGAGGTTCTGCGGTTGCTTCGTCTCTGCGGGAGCAACTCTCTCCACAGGAGCTGCGCGAGTGGTTTGCCCGGCGCTGGAGCCGTGCTGCTGGTGCTAGAGGTTCTTCGACTACTGAGGGTGCTGCTGTCGCGGGTCCCGGAGGTGCTCGTACTGGGAGTACTGGAGCTGCTGGGCCTACGGGTTCGACTGGAGCTGGTGCTGCTGAGGGTGTTGGCGCTAAGACTACCGTTGGCGGTCCTGCTGGGGGTACTCTTGGTGCTGCTGGAGGTTCTGGAGCTACTGGAGGTGCTGCTGGAGCGGGTGCTCCTGCTGGGGGTACTGGTGCTGTCCCTGCTGTGTCTGGCGTCGCCACGCGGCCTCGACCGTACTTCGTTCCACTCCTGCAGCAGGTTCTTAGTCTTCCACCTTCTACTGGTCCTCCTCCTCCCTTAGAGTGTCCACAGCCTGTCCCGTCCCAGCTATAGTTGCAGCCTACCTCCCCTTTGCCTGCTCCTTCTCCCTACACTGGTCCTACTGGAGGTCTTGCTGAGCGTCGTGAGCCTGCGTCTTGCCCTACGTCGCCTGTCCGTGCTGCTCGCGCTAGTGGTCATGGTTTGCGTCAGCGTCCTCCTCCTGTCCCTGGCACGCACCGGATGTCTCTACGTCCGTCCACTACTCCTCTGCGTGCCCCTTTGCCTTCTCCTCCTGAGTCCTCTCTTCCTACTCTTGCTGACCCGCAGTCGGACTCTCTTCGTGCTGCCAGTCCTACCGTCACGCGTCTCCTGGCTACTGTCGTCATTGACCCTTCTTTCGAGTCCACTGCTGCGTCTGCCCTAGTTGCTGAGCTCGTCGACTTTGCTGCTCGCTGTCGCCTAGACTACGCTGCTAGTCTTGTAGCTGAGTCTGAGTCTGTCTGTCCTCCGTCCGTCGGGGGTGAGTGTGCCCTCGGCACGGACGTCCTTGAGGACAGGCAGGAGGAGTTCCAGTGTCTGGCAGCTGCTTCACCTCATCTCGTGTCCGTACTGCTTACCCCTGAGGGAGACCCGGATGCACTTGACATCCCGACTCCGCGCTCCTACGCGGAGGCGATAGAGGGTCCCTACTCCTCTCAGTGGCAGGCAGCTATGGACGCAGAGATGGCTTCCTGGAAGTCCACAGGCACCTACGTTGACGAGGTTCCCCCGCCTGGGGCGAACATCGTCAGTGGCATGTGGATCTTCAGAGTGAAGCGGCCGCCGGGTTCTCCGCCTGTCTTCAAGGCACGTTACGTGGCTCGTGGCTTCAGTCAGCGGCAGGGAGTTGACTACTTTCAGACCTTCTCTCCCACCCCGAAGATGACCACTCTTCGGGTACTGCTGCACGTTGCTGCTCACCGTGAGTACGAGCTGCACTCTCTCGACTTTAGCACAGCTTTCTTGCAGGGCCGCCTGCACGAGGAGATCTGGCTGCGCCGCCCACCTGGCTTCACTGGGTCGTTCCCTCCTGGTACCCAGTGGAGCCTCCGCCGTCCAGTTTACGGTCTCCGCCGGGCGCCACGTGAGTGGCACGACACACTGAAGACTACACTTGCGGCTCTTGGGTTTGCTCCTTCTACTGCCGACCCGTCGCTGTTTCTACGCACCGACACCTCTTTGCCGCTGTTCTACATCCTCGTGTACGTCGACGACTTGGTCTTTGCCACAGCTGACACTGCTGGACTCGCCTACATGAAGTCCGAGGTGAAGAAGAGACACACGTGCACAGACCTGGGTGAACTGCGCAGCTAACTTGGCTTGCAGATCACCCGGGACAGAGCACGCCGCACCATTACCCTGACTCAGTCACACATGGTGCAGCAGGTGCTTCAGCGCTTCAACTTCACGTACTCCTCGCCTCAGGCCACTCCTCTGCCTACTCGCCACTCGCTCTCAGCTCTGCCTTCGGATGAGTCCGTAGAGTCGAGTGGCCCGTATCCAGAGCTTGTTGGCTGCCTCATGTACCTGATGACCTGCACACGACCTGACCTTGCATACCCTCTTAGCATTCTTGCACGCTATGTTGCTCCTGGGAGACACCGACCATAGCACATGGCTGCAGCGAAGAGGGTGTTGCGCTACTTGTGCAGTACGTCGGGCATGGGGCTAACGCTTGGAGGGCGGAGTCCAGTGGTCCTCACTGGGCACGCAGACGCTTCTTGGGCTGACGACCAAGCTACGCAGCGGTCGTCACAGGGTTACACCTTCAGTCTTGGCTCCGGCTCCGTCTCGTGGCGGGCTACTCGTTCGTCATCTGTTCTCGGCTCCAGTTGTTAGGCTGAGATCTACGCAGGGGCCATGGCTGCACAGGAGCTTCGCTGGCTCACCTACCTGCTGACTGACCTCGGAGAGCCGCCTCGTTCTCCTCTAGTCCTGTACGTAGACAACAAGGCCATGCTGGCCTTGTGTCGAGAGCAGAGACTGGAGCACAGAACAAAGCACATTGCTCTCCGCTACTTTCTTGCTCGTGAGCTACAGCAGCGTGGTCAGTTGCGGCTTACGTACGTGGCCTCCGAGGCCAACACTGCTGATGTCTTCACCAAGGCACTTGCGCCTTGTGATCATCAGCGCTTCTGCACCCAGTTGGGTCTTGTACCTGTCTTGCCTCACTTGCTCACCTCTTGACCTTGTTTGTACTGTTACATATATATATACATGCTCTTGCTTGTCTAGCCTTATGTATATATGTACTCCTGCATGTGAACTGGCCTTGTGGCCTTGTACTTGTGCTCGGAATGTGTGGTGACTTTGTGATCCACCCTGAGCTTTGCTTTGTTTTGCTTTGCTTGACTGGTCTTGTGACCCCTTGTTCTCCCCCACTTTGCGTATGGGGGTGTGTCAGAACATTATAGCTTATGCTTTTGTGTAGGCTGTAGTGGGGTATCCCATAGGGGGTACAGCCCAATTAGGGTTAGTACTTGTACCCTCTTCACTCATAGTTCATTCATTCTCGTTCTCACTTTCTCACCACAACCCACTTTCCCACAATTGCTCTTGCATGGTATATCAACATTGTTTGTATTCCCTCATATCAATCAATTCTCATTCAACTCTTTACTTAGTTACTTCATCGCCTATTTCGCCGACACTCTCTTTCGCCAATGTCTTCCGCCGCGTTTATCCTAGACTTAGTCTCCCGCTAATCTTTAGCGGATTTAGGCCAGCGGGCCTAACATGGCACCTGGGATTGGTGCACGAACACACACACACACACACACACACACACACACACACACACACACACACACACACACACACACACACACACACACACACACACACACACACACACACACACACACACACACACACACACACACACACACACACACACACACACACACACACACACACACACACACACACACACACACACACACACACACACACACACACACACACACACACACACACACACACACACACACACACACACACACACACACACACACACACACACACACACACACACACACACACACACACACACACACACACACACACACACACACACACACACACACACACACACACACACACACACACACACACACACACACACACACACACACACACACACACACACACACACACACACACACACACACACACACACACACACACACACACACACACACACACACACACACACACACAACACACACACACACACACACACACACACACACACACACACACACACACACACACACACACACACACACACACACACACACACACACACACACACACACACACACACACACACACACACACACACACACACACACACACACACACACACACACACACACACACACACACACACACACACACACACACACACACACACACACACACACACACACACACACACACACACACACACACACACACACACACACACACACACACACACACACACACACACACACACACACACACACACACACACACACACACACACACACACACACACACACACACACACACACACACACACACACACACACACACACACACACACACACACACACACACACACACACACACACACACACACACACACACACACACACACACACACACACACAATGAGAATTACTTCAATGACTACCTTACGATACTTGTGATATGCATGTGGCTGCGTGCTCCGTCTATGTGGTAATTTTTTTGCCTACTTGAGGTACATTCCGCTGTGGACAGTGTCCCAATCGATGTGTCCCAATCGAGTGTACCACTCCGAACCGAACTAAACCAGAGACGCGAAAATTTTGAAACTAGGGTGCAATTTGGTGTAATACGATGCAGTGCGGTAGAAACGATTGAGACACTTTTGTGAAACAAGTGAACAGGAATGAGTGATGACTAAGTCAGAGTTGGGTACAAATACAACCCTAGAAAGCTGTACCCCATATGTGCTACCCCACTATAGCCTACAAACATGCATCAGCAATAATACTCTGACACACCCCCATAGGCTAAGTGTGGGAGAACAAGGGGTCACAAGACCAGTCAAGCAAAGCAAAACAAAGCAAGCTCAGGGTGGATCACAAAGTCACCACACAGTCCGAGCACAAGAGCAGGGCCAGAGGCCAGTTCACATGCAGGAGTACAGACATATATATAAAACTAGACAAGCAAGAGCAGGTATATATATATGTCACAGTACAAGTGAAGTCAAGAGGAGAGCAAGTGAGGCAAGACAGGTACAAGACCCAGCTGGGTGCAAAAGCGCTGATGGTCACAAGGCGCGAGTGCCTTGGTGAACACATCAGCAGTGTTGGCCTCAGAGGCCACGTACGCAAGTTGCAACTGACCACGCTGCTGCAGCTCACGAGCAAGGAAGTAGCGGAGAGCAATGTGCTTCGTTCCGTGCTCCAAGCGCTGCTCTCGACACAAGGCCAGCATGGCCTTGTTGTCTACGTACAGCACTGGAGGAGAACGAGGCGGCTCTCCAAGGTCAGTCAGCAGGTAGGTGAGCCAGCGAAGCTCCTGTGCAGCCATGGCCCCGGCGTAGATCTCAGCCTCACAACTGGAGCCGAAAACCGAAGACGAGCGAGTAGACCGCCACGAGACAGAGCCGGAACCAAGGCTGAAGGTGTAACCCTGTGACGACCACTGCGTAGCCTGGTCGTCAGCCCAAGAAGCGTCCGCGTGGCCGGTAAGGACCACTGGACTCCGCCCTCCAAGCACTAGCCCCATGCCCGACGTACTGCACAGGTAGCGCAATACCCTCTTCGCTGCAGCCATGTGCTCCGGTCTGTGTCTCCCAGGAGCAACATAGCGTGCAAGAATGCTCAGAGGGTATGCAAGGTCAGGTCGTGTGCAGGTCATCAGGTACATGAGGCAGCCAACAAGCTCTGCATACGGACCACTCGACTCTACGGACTCATCCGAAGGCAGAGCTGAGAGTGAGTGGCGAGTAGGCAGAGGAGTGGCCTGAGGCGAGGAGTACGTGAAGCCGAAGCGCTGAAGGACCTGCTGCACCATGTGTGACTGAGTCAAGGTAATGGTGCGGCGTGCTCTGTCCCGAGTGATCTGCAAGCCAAGGTAGCTGCGCAGTTCACCCAGGTCTGTGCACGTGTGTCTCTTCAGCAGCTCGGACTTCACGTAGGCGAGTCCAGCAGTGTCCGCTGTGGCAAAGACCAAGTCGTCGACGTACACGAGGATGTAGAACGGCGGCAGGGAAGTGTCGGTGCAAAGAAACAGCGACGGGTCAGCAGTAGAAGGAGCAAACACAAGAGCCGCAAGCGTAGTCCTCAGTGTGTCGTGCCACTCACGCGCTGCCTGGCGGAGACCGTAGACTGGCCGTCGGAGGCTCCACTGGGTGCCAGGAGGGAAAGTCCCAGTGAAGCCAGGTGGACGGCGAAGCCAGATCTCCTCGTGCAGGCTACCCTGCAAGAACGCAGTGCTGAAGTCGAGAGAGTGAAGCTCGTAGTCGCGCTGAGCGGCTATGTGCAGCAGCACCCGAAGAGTAGTCATCTTCGGGGTGGGAGAGAAGGTCTGAAAGTAGTCAACTCCCTGCCGCTGACTGAAGCCACGAGCAACGTACCGTGCCTTGAAGACAGGTGGAGAGCCCGGCGGCCGCTTCACCCTGAAGATCCACATGCCACTGACGATGTTCGCCCCAGGAGGGGGAACCGCGTCAACGTAGGTGCCTGTGGACTTCCAGGAAGCCATCTCTGCATCCATAGCTGCCTGCCACTGAGAGGAGTAGGGACCCTCTACGGCCTCCGCGTAAGAACGCGGAGTCGGGATGTCTAGTGCATCCGGGTCTCCCTCAGGGGCAAGCAGTACAGACGCGAGATGAGGTGAAGCAGCCGCTAGACACTGTAACTCCTCCTGCCTGTCCTCTAGGACGTCCGTGCCAAGAGCACACTCACCCCTGACGGACGGAGGACAGACAGACGCAGACTCAGCAACAAGACGAGCAGCGTAGTCGAGACGACAGCGAGCAGCAAAGTCGACGAGCTCAGCGACAAGGGCAGACGCAGCAGTGGACTCAAACGAGGGGTCAGTGACGACAGTAGCAAGGAGACGCGTGACAGTAGGAATGGCAGCACGAAGAGAGTCCGACTCAGGGTCGGCAAGCGCAGGAAGAGAGGACTCAGGAGGAGAAGGCAAAGGGGCACGCAGAGGAGCAGTGGACGGACGCAAAGACATCCGGTGCGTGCCAGGGACAGGAGGAGGACGCTGACGCGAACTGCGACCACTAGCGCGAGCAGCACGAACAGGCGACGCGGGACGAG